ATTGGTTGTTAATGACCTATTTCTAAATGATATACATCAATAATATATGACAATAGTTTCAGGTCAGGAACTACTCTGATTTAGACGTTTATCCTTTCCAAACCTCAAGTTGAAATTTGTTTCATCTTTTTTTTTTTTTTTTTTTTTTGAGATGGAGTTTTGCTGTTGTTACCTAGACTGGAGTGCAATGGCACGATCTCGGCTCACTGCAACCTTGGCCTCCTGGGTTCAAGCAATTCTCCTGCCTCAGCCTCCCGAGTAGCTGGGACTACAGGCACGTGCCACCATACGCAGCTAATTTTTCTATTTTTAGTAGAGACGGGGTTTCACCTTGTTGACACCTGGTCTCCATCTCTTGACCTCGTGATCCACCCGCCTCGGCTTCCCAAAGTGCTGGGATTATAGGCGTGAGCCACCGCGCCCAGCCTTTTTTTTCTTCTTTTTTTTAAACAGAGATAGGGCCTTGCTCTGTTACCCAGGCTGGAGTGCTGTGGTGTGATCATGGCTCACTATAGTTTGAACTCCTGTGCTTAAGCGATCCTCCCACCTCAGCCTTCGGAGTAGCTTGGTGAGCACCACCAAGTCTGGTGAAATCTGATCACCAATGTTGGAGTGGGGCTTCATGGGAGGTGTTTAGGTTTCATGGCCAGATCCTTATGAATAGATGTATGCCCTCCCTCAGGGGTGAGTGACTTCTTCCAGAGCTGATTGTTAGAAACAATCCTGGACCTCCCTCCTCAGTCTCTTGCTAACCCTCTTGCCATGTAATCTCTGCACACTCGAGTTCTCCCTCGCCTTCCACCATGAGTAGAAGCAGGCTGAGACCCTCACCAGATGCAGATGCCCAACCTGAACTTTCCAACCATTCAGAATCATGAGCCAAATAAACCTTTTTCTTTATAAATTACTCAGCCTTAGGTATTCCTTTATAGCAACACAAAACAGACTAAGACAGGAACCTACACTCCTTAGAAGAAGGTCATATGTTATAAACGTTTTGAGTCTAAGATTTTAGTGTCTACACTCCGTCTTACATTTACCATTCTCTCCATTTTCACAAGTCCTATTATACAGTTGAAAACATTTCCTACACACTAGTAGAGCCATAGGAATTTAAAATCATTAATTGTCAAGGACATATGGAAAATTAGACAATGTGCAAAGAAAAACAGGCCAGGAGTTTGAGGCCAGCATGACCAACATGGTAAAATCCTGTCTTTACCCCCCCCAAAAAAAAAAAAAAAAAAAAATTCAAAAATTAGTCGGGTGTGGTGGTGGGCACCTGTAATCCCAGCTACTCAGGAGGCTGAGGCAGGAGAATTGCTTGAACCCAGGAGGCAGAGGTTACAGTGAGCCAAGATGACATCACTGCACTCCAGCCTGGGTGACAGGGAGACTCCATCTCAAAATAAATAGCACTAGAAAGACAAAAATTAGCCAGGTGTGGTGGTGTGCATCTGTAATCCCAGCTACCAGGGAGGCTGAGGCAGGGGGATCTCGTGAATCTGGGAGGCAGAGGTTGCAGTATAATGACATTTTGGTCAACAATGGACGGCATACACATCGGTGGTCACTTAAGACTATGACTGTACCACATGGCCTAGGTGTGTTAGCAGGCTCCACCGTCTAGGTGTGTGTCAGTACACCCTATGATGTCCACATAAAATGAAATCATCTAAGGAGGCATTTCTCAGAATGTATCCCTGTCATTACGTGACACGACTGCAAATAATTTTTTTTTTTTTTTGAGAGAAGGATAGAACTATCCTAAATTTTATATGGAAAGGCAGAAGGGAAAAGGGGGAATATCATTCTACTTAAATTCAAAGCTTACTATATAGCTGCAGTAATTAAGACTGTGTGGTGCTGGCAAAAAGATCAACACAGATCAACATAACAAAATGGAGAGCCCAGTAACAGACCCACACTAATACGCTCAGTTGAATTCTGGCAAAGATGCAAATGCATTTCAATAGAGGAAGGACAGTCTTTTCAACAAGGGGCTAGAGCAAGTTGATGTCCACAGGCAAGAAAATAAACTTCAAATTAACCATCTACTAAACACATACTAAATGTAAAACTCTACAAAACCTTTTGAAAACATAGAACCTCTTGAGGACAAAGAGATAAACCTTTGCTAGACAAAGGTTTCTTGGGCTTAACACTAAAAGTGTGATCCATGAAAGGAAAAATTGATGAACTGAATTTCAACAAAATAAAAAAATTTTAGCTCTGCAAAAGACCGTTAAGATAAAATACAAGCTACGGACTAGGCAAAAGTATTTTCCTACAAATATTTCTACAATATATAACAAACTCTCCGTTGGGCGTGGTGGCTCAGGTCTGTACTCCCAGCACTTTGGGAGGCTGAGACACGCAGATCACTTGAAGTCACCCTGGCCAACATGGCTGGCCCACCTCTACTAAAACTCCAATGAGCTGGGTGTGGTGGCACATACCTGCAATCCTAGCTACTTGAGAGGCTGAGGCATGAGCACTGCTTGAACCCGGGAGGTGGAGGTTGCAGTGAGCCAAGATTGTACCACTGCCCTCCAGCCTGGATGACAGAGCGAGACTCCATCTCAGAAAAAACTCTGAAATACAACAGCAAAAAAAAATAAAATATATAATTTGAACATGGACAAAAGACATTTCACCATTTATGATACACAGATGGCAAATAAGCACATGGAAAGATGATTAACATCATTAGCTATCAGAGCAATTCTAAGTTACAACCACAGTAAAATATCACTACACTCTTACCAGAATGGCTAAGAGTAACATTAAGTGCTGGAAACGATGCAGAGAAACTGGATCACTCAAACATTACCGGTAGAAATGTAAAATCATACAGCTATTCTGGAAAACTTTGGAGTTCCTGGGCATTTATCCAAGAGAAATAAAGACTATGGTTCACATAAAAACCTGTACACAAATGTTTAAAGCAGCTTTATTTAGATACCTAACAACAGGAAACATTCCTGATGTCCCTTCACAGGTGTTTACTATGGTATATCTATATTGACATCTCACTCAGCACTAAAAACAGGACTACTGATGCAACAGTCTGGATCAATGCCCAGAGGTTATGGTGAGTGAAAAAAGCCAATCCCAAAAGAAAGTATAATCCAATTATAATTTTGGCAAAATTATAGAGATGGAGAACACGTCACTGGTGCCAGAGGTTATGAAGGTGGGCGTAGCTATACGAGCACAAGAGGAAAGTATGGCTTATAAGGACAACAGATAGGTTCACTGTGATAGAAATGTTCTATATCTTGGTTACTATCATTTCTATTATAGCTTGGCTTAGTTGTGATATTGTCCTAGTTTTGCCAGATGTTATCATTGGGAAAACCGAGTGGAATCTCGGTATTATTTCTTACAAGTGTATGGGAATCTACAATAATCTCAAAATTTAAGTTGAATTGAGAAAAACAAGGCAATGTTCTATATTTATGTTTAATAGGCCTGAAATAAGCTAACAAAGAGGAGTAGACTGATATTAAGACACACAATTTGGTTCATTTCCTAGATAATTTATGCCGATGGAGTGGCAATTCCAGTGCCCGTTAGATATCTTATGCTGCCTAATCAGAAGTTTCTCCTGATGGTCTCAGGTATCTAATATCTGCCCAGTTCTTACAAACCTATGGATCCCCAGTAATGTGTCTTTTTTTTTTTTTTTTTAAGACAGGGTCTGGCTCTGTTGCCCAAGCTGTAGTACAGTGACACAGTCTCAGCTCACCATGACTTCCACATCCTGGGCTCAAGCTATTCTTCTCACCTCCATCTCTTGCGTAGCTGTGACTACAGGTGCATGTAGCTCCCAGTTAATTTTTGGGAGAGACAGGGTCTCCCTATGTTGCCCATGCTGATCTCAAACTCCTTGACTCAAGCTATCAGCCTGCCTCAGCCTCCTGAAATGCTGGGACTATATGTGTGAGCCACCATGCCCAGCCAAAATGCATCTTTTGAAAACATCTAGTAACTGAAAAAAATAATTTTCCAGGTAAGAAGAGATGAAACATATTAATCAACAGGCTGGATTTAAGACTAATTTTATGAGAAAATCAGCTAAGTGAATTTTTCTGATGCCTCAAAAATAATAAAATAAAAATTAGAAAGGTAATTTTTCTGTCCTTAAATTATTTTGTGTATCTACTGCTTGGAAAAGAGAAAAGAAGTCTGCCAATCTCTCTGTGATCTTACATATGTGGTCCTAAACTTAAGCATATGTTTGTTTCATACATATATATCTTATACATACATAATCTTTATCTTAATTTTTGGTATGAAAATCTTTTTATACCTTGTTACCAAAATAAACACAATTTGCATTAAAATTACTACTTCATTTGAAGAGCACAAAGGCAGTTTTTAAATTCTTCCCCTTTTAGGAGAAAAGGTTGAATAATGACTCCTTTATCCAAATCTGATAAAGAATGTGTTCAGTGTTTTATATTATTTTATATTACGTTTTGAGAAAGATCTTTATTTGCTTTGTACAAGTAAAAATTACATGACACATTAACATATTATATATCAACATGATACATAATTCACAAAACACTGTCTGCCAAAAGTAATTTTACCACTGTTTAAAAAAAAAGAAACCCTAAAAGTGGCTTTTTAATATGTATATTTTCTTCAAAGGAAGAAATTCCTTGCTTTTACTCAGGGGAAAAAATAAAATTAAGGTACGTCTGATTTGATTCCATGTAGATGGGATCTCCTACAAGGGTTTTTTTAGGAGACACCTGGGATTCACTGCATTGTTTCTATTTTCTTCTTTTTCCTCCTCTTTTCCAACACGTCTACCCTTTTGCTCTTCTTGGTTGATACCAGGCTACTTTCTTGTGTCGCTTTCTTACTGTCACCAGTTAAAGCGCATTTCTTTGTGTTAGGTTTTGACTGCTTTTCTTCTTTGTGCACTGTGTCACCAGGCTCCTTTTTGCCGATTTTGGACTGCTTTTTACTTACTAAAACACAAAAGACAGTGCCTTTAAAGCCTGTTTTTCCCCCTTGAATGAAATAAACACAGGCTACCAATAAAGTGAAATTATCTAGATTTCCTCCACTTCTACAATTTAAGAGATTCAAAACAATCAAATTCAATTATCAGGAGAAGGCTCTGCAGCTGGAGGAAGGCTTGCTTTTGTGTCTGGCACCGTGTCTAACCACACTCCAAGACATGCCAGCCTGGCATTAGTGTTTACTTCACAGAGTAAAGATGGGCGAACTTTCTAAATAGAAGAAACAAATATTCATAATATGAATTTTCAATAATTTCTTTTTCCATAATCAAGTTACCTTTAATTTAAAACTTACTCTATTTTCTTGAGTACAAAGTATGATATTCAGAAGCAATATATCATCTTCACTCATGGTTAGTTTGACTATGTTATTCACAGAGCCAATTTCTGAGAAGTATTCAGAAATGGAAAATTCTGAAGAAAAGAATCAGGTCTTACTTCTAGGGCTGAAGAAAGAACCTTGGAAAAAGAAACACTCAACAAACCACATTCATAGAATGTGTTTATGAGAGAACAAAGAATGAACCGAGAGAGACTGTAAGAAGTCTACAGGAGGGAATTTAGTTTTCCAAACTGTCTGGTTCAAATGGTTTGTTAATTCCGTAACTGATCAGGAGCTTCCAAATTGTTTTTAGCAATGGCAGCATTTTCACCTAAGAGCTTCCAGAGAACTCCAATATATAAGAAAGGAAAGTAGAGCTTCTCTGACTAAAAAGGGCAGTAAGAGTTCTGGGATCCGGCCAGCTCAGACTCAGAAATGACAACCATCAAGGCAGCCCCTTGGGAACCCTAACTTTAAAACCATTAATATCAATCATGCCTGAAGGAGATTGAGAAAGTTTATTTACAGATCTATGTCTTATGACCCTTAAAAGAATTCTGCCTCACTTAAGAGCAAGACTTGTATTAAAGTGTATTTAGATTGTGGTAAGGCACTGACCTTATTTTGCTTAAGCTTCCACATTTTGATGAAACCATCACTCGATGCTGTAACAATAACATGATGCTCTGGAATTTCAAAACTGAACATGGCCTTTACCCTAGGATAGAAATATTAACACTATAAAAGATCTTTTCCTCCAAGTAGTCTAATATTGTTATAAAATTACACACACAGACTAGTGCTTTCTCAATGTTTCAAGTATTTGCAAACTGCTCAATGAATATGTGCCTTAAAATATAACTATGCTGGCCAGGCATGGTGGCTCACACCTGTAATCCCAGCACTTTGGGAGACTGAGGCGGGTGGATGACGAAGTCAAGAGATCGAGACCATACTGGTCAACATGGTGAATCCCTGTCTCTACTAAAAATACGAAAAATTAGCTGGGCATGGTGGCGCGTGCCTGTAGTCCCAGCTGCTTGGGAGGCTGAGGCAGGAGAACTGCTTGAACACAGGAAGCGGGAGTTGCAGTGAGCCGAGATCACGCCACTGCACTCCAGCCTGGGTAACAAAAGCGAAACTCCATCTCAAAAAAATATATATATAACTAAGCTTCACATTCCATTAGTGAATCATACTCAGGCCCAAAATACAAGATAAAATCAACTGCCCACCATATCTGAAAGAAAAGTTGAAAAGACAATAGATAACTATAAATAATCAGGTTATTACAAGGGAACTAAAGATGAGTAAAACAAAGCCCTTCATCTCAAGAAATTCCAAGTTCAGTAAGGAGAGAAAAGGCAACAGAAACGATGAATCAAGGCCTCTCCCACACACCCATTTCTCTCCACTCCAGTGCCACCATTGATAGTCTAAGCTGCCATCACTTTTCTTCTGGATCACAGACGTAGGCTCATTGGCCTTTCTGCTTCTATTTTGCCCCTTAAAAATGTAAATCAAATCATGTAACTTCCAAAAACTCTACAAAACTGGGGTTTAATTTAAAATAACATGGGAGAGGAAGTGGCTGAGCATACAGATAAAGCAAGACTGGTCATACAGTGACAGCTGCTAAAGCTGGTGGCAAGTCTTAAAATGTTAGTACCATAAGGCCGGGCACGGTGGCTCACACCTGTAATCCCAGCACTTTGGGAGGCCGAGATAGGTGGATCACCTGAGGTCAGGAGTTCGAAACCAGCCTGGCTAACATGGTGATACCCCATCTCTATTAAAATAAATAAATAAATTATAAAAGTTGGTACCATTAAAAAAAAAAGTTAGTATCATAAACCAGTCTAAATGTTTTTAAATTTTTCCATAGTAAGAAAAAATATGATTATAGGCACCATTTGGCTTCCACCACCCTTTCCTTGCTCACTCTCACCTAGTCACAAAGGTCCTCTATCTGCTCCTAAAATACACCAAGCTCTGTTCTCCCTCAGGGTCTTGGCACCTGTGGCTTTCTCTTCCGTTTTTTTGAGATGGAGTCTCGTTCTGTTGCCGAGGCTGTAGTGCAGTGGTGTGATCTCAGCTCACTGCAACCTCTACCTCCCAGGTTCAAGCAATTCTCCTGCCTCAGCCTCCCAAGTAGCTAAGATTACAGGCATGTGCCACCACGCCCAGCTAATTTTGTATTTTTAGTAGAAATGGGGTTTTCTCCATGTTGGTCAGGCTGGTCTTGAACCCACAACCTCAGGTGATCCACCTGCCTCGGCCTCCCAAAGTGCTGGGATTCAAGGCGTGAGCCACGGTACCCGGCCCTACTCTCTCTTATTTTTAAAACTAGCTCCTTTCTCATTCTTAAGGTCTCACATCTCCTTGCCTCATCATCCTATCTAAACCAATTACGCTTATTCCTTAATCACTCTACTTTTCTATTTCCATTCTGTCATAATGATCTGCTTACTTTATAATCTATTGCCTCACTACAATAGAAGAGCCATGAGAGCACAAGCTCTTGTCTTTTCTCTTCATTATTAAATACCTCGTGTAGTATTTCGTAATGATGATCAATAAACACTTGTTGACTGAATGAATGGCCAAATATCTTAAGTGTTACTAGTACACCTGGAATGGGCGACCTTGAAGAATGTTTACTCCCCAATATAGGGAAAGAGTAAGGCCTTTATTTTAGTAACTGCAGTACTCCAAGTACGGATTTCTTAAAACTTAACCACTGTTAATAAATAAGAAGACTCATTTGAGACATAGAACATGCAAATGAAATACATCAAAATATAACTCTGCACATTAGATCACCTTTTTCAAAATTCCTAGAAAAAGCAGGGATCTAAGAGTCAGATAAAACTGGGTTCAGCTCTCAGCTGCATTACCTAAGAGTGGGGTAATCTTAGCCAAGCCACTTAACTGCTTACTTTGAGATTATCTACCCCCTAGAAATACAGTAAGCATTAAAAGGTAATAAAGACTGGCACAAAACTGGAACTCAATAACAGTTCACTTCTCCTGCAGGGGGAAAAAAAATCACTCGTAAAGGGGGAAGAAGTAGGCAAGGGGAATTACATAAAAGGACAAAAGTAGTTGGGAACAAAGCTCAAGACTGTTTAGTCTTTTGTTTGTTCAAATACGTTTGATTTCAGGCTCCAAATCTAACAGATATTTAAAAAACTATCTTGTGCAAAGGACTAGTCCCAAAAAACAACTTCACCGATTTTGCATTGTTTTTTTTTTTTTTTTTTTTTTTCCTGAGAGGGAGTCTCGCACTGTAGCCAGGCTGGAGTGCAGTGGTGCGATCTTGGCTCGCTGCAACCTTTGCCTCCTGGGTTCAAGCGATTCTCCTGCCTCAGCTTTCCCGAGTAGCTGGGACTACAGGCACACACTACCACACCCCGCTAATTTTTGTATTTTTAGTAGAGATGGGGTTTCACCATGTTGGCCAGGATGGTCTCAATCTTTTGACTTCATGATCCACCCACCTTGGCCTCCCAAAGTGCTGGGATTACAGACATGAGTCACCATGCCCAGCCCACTTTTGCATTATTAAAGGCCATGAAGATAACATTTTCCACCATTTTATTAGACTCCAGATACCATATACTGTCCACGTAGGTATGTCTGATTATTTCTGCAGTTAATAAAAACATATACCCTGGTTTAAGAAACTGCTGCATATATACCATTTATTAAGACTCAACATATACACCTGAGATTGGTAAAATTACCTGTTTTCATGAGCTTTAAATTTACAGAGGCACACTAGCGAATCACAGTCAAAAAACCTTATAACTTCTTCATCTCCAGCTACTGCAAGGACAGACTCCTAGGAGAGATGAAAAATAATAACAGGCAGAATGTCATCAACAGTTCCAACCATCGCCACAAACTTCGGTCACAGATTTCTGATTACTGAAAGAAATTTAACAGCAGAAATTCTCTTTTCATTTGTGATGGTGCCACTAATGGATGCAGTGTCAAGCTGATAGATGTCTATTTTATTCTGTATGATAACTACATATTGCTCTTCTCTTGGGGAGCATTCCACTAGGTGAGCATCTGTAAGTGAAAAAAATAAAGTTTATTTTTTATTTAAATTTTTAAATTTTTAATTTTTTTTAGTAGAGACGGGGTTTCACCATGTTGGCCAAGATGGTCTAGATCTCCTGACCTCGTAATCTACCCACCTCAGCCTCCCAAAGTGCTGGGATTATAGGTATGAGCCACCATGCCTGACCTATTTATTATTTCATAAATAAAACATAAAATGATCATAGTAATAAAAATAGCAAATATTTATAATGTGCATTTTCAAATCCATGATGCCATTTGCTCTTCATAACACATTTTGCAAGTTCAATTTTTTAGAAAATAATCTAGGTTCAAAAAGTCAAGGGTGGGCCAAGTGCAGTGGCTCACACCTGTAATCCCAGCATTTTGGGAGGCCAAGGTGGGTGGATCACTTAAGGCCAGGAGTTTGAGACCAGATGGTGAAACCTCATCTCTACAAAAACTACAAAAAATTAGCCAAGCATGGTGGCATGCACCTGTAATCCCAGCTACTTGGGAGGCTGAGGCAGGAGAATCACTTGAACCCAGGAGGCAGAGGTTGGAGTGAGCTGAGATTGTGCCACTGCACTTCAGCCTGGGTGACAGAGCAAGACTCTGTCTCAAAAATAAAATAAAATATAATAAAAATCAAAGGCAGGTGGCAAAGCCACAAGAATCTAGATCTAAAATGGGAAAATAAAGTAACCCAAAGCATTTACTCAGAGGTAACCACCACCATGCAGGGAAATAAATGTGTAACATGCACACATGTAAGAATGTGTATCTATCTATATGCATAGTCCATTAAGTCACTCTAAAATATACTGGTTAAGTATACCTTATCCAAAATGCTTGAGACCAGAACTGTTTTGGATTTTGGAATATCTGTATTTAAACAGCAAAATATCTCAAGGATACAACCCATGAAACTCATGTTTCAAGTCTAAAACTGAAAGTCATCTATGTTTTATATACACCTAGCCTGAAGGTAATTTTACACAATATTTTAAATAATTTTGGGCATGAAACAAAGTTTTGACTGTGATCCATCATGAGGTTAGGTGTTGAATTCTCTTTTTCTTTTTTTGAGATGGCATTTTGCTCTTGTCACCCAGGCTGGAGTGCAATGGCCAATCTCGGCTCACTGTAACCTCTGCCTCCCAGGTTCGAGTGTTTCTCCTGCCTCAGCCTCCCAAGTAGCTGGGATTACAGGTGTCCGCCACCCAACCTGGCTAATTTCTGTATTTTTAGAAGAGATGGGGTTTTATCACATTGGCCAGACTGGTCTTGAACTCCTGACCTCAGGTGATTCACCTGCCGCAGCCTCCTGAAGTGCTGCGATTATAGGCATGAGCCACCGCGCCTGGCCTGCGTGTTGAATTTTCTACTTGAGGCATCACACCAGTGTTCAAAAAGTTTCAGATTTTGAAGGATTTCAGATTTCCAGATTAGGAATGCTCAACCTGTATTTCAAACAAAAATACTCACTTTAGGCTGGGCGCAGTGGCTCAAGCCTGTAATCCCAGCACTTTGGGAGGCCAAGGCAGGTGGATCACGAGGTCAAGAGATCGAGACCATCCTGGTCAACATGGTGAAACCCCCCCTCTACTAAAAATACAAAAAATTAGCTGGGCATGGTGGCGCGTGCCTGTAATCCCAGCTACTCGGGAGGCTGAGGCAGGAAAATTGCCTGAACCCAGGAGGCGGAGGTTGAGATGAGCTGAGATCGCGCCATTGCACTCCAGCCTGGGTAACAAGAGCGAAACTCCGTCTTAAAAAAAAATTATAATAATCACTTTGTTTTATATTTTTTATGAATGCTGATCTTCCTTCTACAAGATTCCGCGTTCTGCAAAACAGGAAGCTCACTTATGGTGTGACCACCAACTAACTTTTACTAAGCATAAAAGAACAAGCATAATGACGACTTACTCAAGTGACAATTTTACTAAATATTGGCTATTTAAAAGACCTGCTATCTTCCTTACAGCAACATCCTGAAATATTATCAGGCAGGATTAAGGCTTGCTCCATTCCCATATCCCTTTAACACATCGTAACCATTGTATTTTCCAAAGGCTTCCCTTCCTAAAAATCTTCACTTCACAGCTATGATGACTGGAGCAAAATTACATGCTTGAGTACAGAGCTTATCATCTTTATCCTACCATTATGAAAAGGTTCACTAGCTTTTGACCTTTCCATTGTTTCACAGTATTTTTTTTTTTTTTTGAGACAGAGCCTCGCTGTGTTGAGCAGGCTGGAATGCAGTGGTGTGCTTGGCTCACTGCAACCTCCGCCTCCGCCTCCCGGGTTCAAGCAATTCTCTGCCTCAGCTTCCCAAATAGCTGGGATTATAGACGCTGCCACCATGCCTGGCTAATTTCTTTTTTAGTAGAGACGGGATTTTACCATACTGGCCAGGCTGGTCTTGAACTCCTGACATCGTGATCCACTCGCCTCAGCCTCCCTAAGCACTGAGATTATAGACATGAGCCACCATGTTTTCCTACAGCTCTCCACCATTTAAATATACTGTGAAATGCCCTGCCTGTTTCTAAGATACACCTTAGAAAAATGCTCTCGAGCATTAATGACTTACCTTAATGTCTTATCTGTACGAACCGACAGGGCCAACTTGCCAGATGGGTGAATAGAAAGGAAGGTCACATGTCCTCTAAAATGAAACTAACAGTCCCCGACTTGACTGGCACATGGAGAATGCCAAAGGGAAGAGCCCAACTCACTTGTGAGCTTTAACTGACTTCAGGCATTCCCATTTCTTGGCATCCCAGATACAGATAAGTCCATCTTCTGCTCCACTGATCAAATGCCTGTTGCCATAGAATTTCAGGCAAGTTATTGTGCCTGTGGAAAAACCAAAACCGGCAAAAATAATATTCATTTTAAATGCAAACTCCATTTCTGGTTTGAAGGCTATGCTATGCTAACTAAAACACTCAATGCCTTTTTTGTTTTCTCTGGAGGCAGGGTTTTACTCTGTTACCCAAGCTGGAGTGCTATGGCACAATCTTGGCCCACTGCAGCCTCTGCTTCCTAGGTTCAAGTGATCTTCCCACCTCAGCCTTCTAAGTAGCTGGGACTACAGGTACACACCAATACACCTAGCTAACTTTTGTATTTTTTGTAGGTACAGAGTTTCACCATGTTGTCCAGGCTGCTCTTGAACTCCTGGACCCAAGTGACCTGCCCACCTCAGCCTCCCAAAGTGCTGGAATTACAGGCGTGAGCCACTGTGCCTGGCCTCGATGTCTTAATATTACTAAAATACACCTTAAATTTTTTCGTATATGTACAACTGCTAAAATCTATGCAAATATTTTCAGCAGAGTACCTGCAGTTTAGATACATTTTTGAACGAATCAGTTCACATCCTTGCTTTACCTCTTCAAATTACAAATTTAGGAAATGGCTGGCTAGGATAATTTAAGCAGAAGTAAACAAAACTAACTGGCTAACAAGCTAATCTGGGGAACAAACCAGGAGTACTGCCACATGACTTCCACTTTCTAAAGCCTGAACTAGCCACCCAATCAGCCATGATCAAGTCATTATCACTCTGACCTGTTTTGATCCATTACTAAACACTTCTCGTTCATTTGTCCATATTTTCCTCTCCCTATTATCCTATTTCTCACTTTGGAAAGTTTACTTTCCTATATCTGCTAACCTAGAAAAAAGTTTATCTATTACCAACTCTGAGAAAAATAGGATTTATGCAGCCATAAAAAGGAATGTGACCATGTGCTCTGCAGAGATGTAGATGAAGTTTGAAGCCATTATCCTCAGCAAACTAATGCAGGAAGAGAAAACCAAACACTGGCCGGGTGTGGTGGCTCATGCCTGTAATCCCAGCACTTTGGGAGGCCAATGCAGGTAGATCACCTGAGGTCAGGGGTTCAAGATCAGCCTGGCCAACATGGCAAAACCCCATCTCTACTGAAAATACAAAGATTAGCTGGACGTGGTGGTGTGTGCTTATAGTCTCAGCTATTTAGGAGGCTGAGGCACAAAAATCACTTCAACTTGGGAAGTGGAGGTTGCAGTGAGCTGAGATCCTGCCACTGCACTCCAGCTGGGGTGACAGAGCTAAACTCCCTCTCAAAAAAGAAAGAAAATAAAAGAAAACAAAGAGAAAAGAAAAAGGAAGACCAAATACCACATGTTCTCACTTATAAGTGGGAGCTGAATCATGAGAACACATGGACACATAGGGAGAACAACACACACTGGGGCCTGTGGGAGGGGAAGGGTGGGGGGAGAGAGAGCATTAGAACAGCTAAAGGATGACTGGCTTAATGCCTAGGGGATGGGATCTGTGCCGCAAACCACTAAGGCACGTTTACTTATGTAATAAACCTGCACATCCTGCATGTGTACCCCTGAACTTAAAATAAGGGTTGAAGGAAAAATAAGAAAAGAATTCTTAAAAAGACAAGAAAAAAAAGGATTTATACAAGAAATGGAGGAAACCAAGAAACCAAGAACCCTGTTTCATTCACCGCCCCCCGCAAAGTCTAAACTCCTTCTGTGTCATTCCTTTTCTTATTGTTGAACTCTTGTACTAATGGGTATGGGCAGGTCGAATTTAACTTATTTCTTCCAAACCTGAGAGAGAAGGCTTCGTTGTATGAAGTGGGAAAGGGAAAAAAAGAATGTATATGTAAAACACTCAAAGCACAGCCGATGAAGGGTGAGACAACTCTTAAAGCATTATGGACAGTCTGCCATGGTGTGAACGTGTCCCCCAAAATCATTTGCTGAAACTTAGTTGCCAAAGCGATAGTTTAAGAGGTGGGACCTTTAAGTGAGGATGACTCACGAGCAAGATTATTGACCTTATAAAAGTTTTTTTTTTTTGGCCAGGCGAGGTGGCTCACACCTGTAATCTCAGCCCTTTGGAAGGCTGAGGTGGGCAGATAACTTGAGATCAGGAGTTCAAGACCAGCCTGGCCAATATGGTAAAACCCCGTCTCTACTAAAAATGCAAAAATTAGCCGGGCATGGTGGTGGGTGCCCGTAATCCAAGCTACTAGGGAGGCTGAGGCAGGAGAATCACTTAAACCCAGGAGGTGGAAGTTGCAGTGAGCTGAGATCACTCCACTGCATTTCAGCCTGGGCAACAAGCAAGACCCCTTATTAAAAAAAAAAAAAAAAAAAAAAAAAACAACTTTTCTTGTTTGTTTGTTTGCTTTTTTAAAACTGGCTCCAACTCTCAAGCTGGACCTTACAGAATTGTACAGGGAGCTGCTGCCCTTCTACCATAAGAAGACACAGCAACAGCCAGCCAGTCCTTAGCAGACATGAAAATCTGCTGGTGCTTTACTCTTAGACTTCCCGGCCTCTAGCACTGTGAGAAATAAATCTCCATTATACAGAAATGATTCAGTCTAAGGTATTTTGTTATAGCAGTCTGAATACTAAGAGAACATGTCATAGAAGGAAGCTGTTTATGGCTGCATATTTACTGCTGGAAACCCGTGCCTGCTGTGGATCCTCTGAAATACAAGAAAGACTGGATAGGAAAAAAGGCACCTATTTTATCTGCCTTTGCAGAAAACCAACTTTCTTAGCTAAGTTACTCCTCATTCTCTGTCTCCTAGGAAAATGCAATAAAAACAGCATAAAATGTTTGGTACTGAAGAAAAAAACTTACCTGTTCGGTCTTTCTCTCCCTTGATTCTGCCACTATCCCTGGTACCTTGACCACCAGTGTGGAAAACTCAACAAGGTGGGAATTACTACTCCTTGACTTCAACTCCAGTGATCTTTGCCTCCTCTGTATTTCAGTCCCTACCACCACAGCCTGGGCATCATTACCACGTAGAGCTGTTCCACGTTAGAAATCTTGACCTCTGGGAACCTATTTGCTGACCACAAGCTTACATCTTCCCATCCCTTTCACGCCTTCCTGCACTCACACTCCATCTGCTTTTGTACTTCAGAGATCTCCAGGCCCTTGACAACACATTTTCTCTAAGCTGACAACCTAATCTACTCCTTCACCAAAATTCTTAATTCCCTTGTAACTTAATCCTCCTACTGCACACACCAAGTAACCTTCCTCTCTCTAGGGAAATGTCTGGGGCTTACTACTGAAGAAACTCAGAAAACCTTGCAAACTGATGTTGCTCGATCCATAGCTGCCAATTCCAATGGGGCAGGCCTTCATCATTCCTTCTGTTTGGGTTCTCAGTTAGCAGCCCTCCCATAGCAGACTGACAGTACTTTCCTCAAGCCCACATCACTCATTAGCTTGCTTGCTCCCTCCCTCCCATTCAGCCTCTACCTGCCTTCTCTCAAGGTCTCTGGGATCTACTTCTGTAGCGCCTCATAGTCCAGTTTAACCTTCTCACAATCCGGAACAGCTTACGGCTCCTCATGCACACCAGCGGTCAAAAGCATGGGCTTTAGACCTAGGTTCAAGTTCTAGTTCCACTGTTTTGAGACCTTGGGCAAGTCAAGTAACATCTTTGAAACTAGGTGTTCTCTTCCATGAACTAAAGATAAAACTACTTTCTTGGCACACTGAGGGGTACACAATATGCCCTCAATAAAGTGAGATATTGCTGTGATCCTACAACTTGTGCTCCTCACACTGCCGGCTCTGCCTGCAATGTCCTTTCGCCCTCCTTGCAAACTTTATCTGCCTAACAACTGACATTTCTCTTTTAAAATAATACAGATGAGAAGAGAAAAAAATATGATAGTTCAGATTCATTTTAAGGAAGGTTTCAGTGAAACCTCACTCTGACTCCCTTACTCCCTGAGTTAAGTTCCTCCTTTCCAATACAAACTGTGAGATAACTCAGAGCAAGAAACCATTTTCTTCCCCCCGAGATGGAGTCTCACTCTGTTGCCCAGGTTGGAGTGCAGTGGCCCAATCTCAGTTTACTGCAACCTCTGCCTCCCGGGTTCAAATGATTCTCCTGCCTCAGCCTCCCAAGTAGCTGGGACCACAGAGAGGTGCCACCACATCTGCCTAATTTTTTTGTATTTGAGTGGAGATGGGTCTGTTCTTAAGCTCCTGACCTCAGGTGATCCACCTGCCTCAGCTTCCCAAAGTGCTGGGATTACAGGCGTGAGCCACTGCGCCAAGCTAAGAAACCATTTTTTAAAAATTCCTCTAACTTCTACTGCAGAATCTACTATAAAATAGATACAACAAATTGCTCAACTTAAGATACAATTTTCTTACCACTGTGATGCACTAGAGCCCCATGCTCTATCTTCTTTTTCATGTCATAAATGTGAATTGTTTCATCTTTGCTCCCAGTGACCACAAAACGACTATTGACAGCTACTGCAGACAAGGAGGCAGTGTGAGCATGGTGAGTGAAGTCAGCCACAGGAGTCCATTGCTGCTGAAGACGAAAACACACAATTAATGCCACAGTCACCCCACAGTTTTACCAACTATCCACTGGTAGTTTTTATGAATCATGGAACCATTTATCGGTTACTGAAAAGATAAATCGTTCTGCAATTCATGAAAATTATCAGTGGATCCTACACATGGAAGAATGACATGTAAAACTAAAAAATGACACGTAGTTTAACACAAAGGACTTGAGACTTCATCAGGAAGGTAAAGCAAGGGGATGGGAAGGGAACACTGGGTATCACCACTCTAGAACGCAGTAATGGAGACTGGACGAGAGAAGACTTTTAGACTCTACACAAATCTTTTATTTATTTATTTTTTTGCGATGGAGTCTTGCTCTGTCACCCAGGCTGGAGTGCAACGGCGTGATCTCAGCTCACCGCAACATCTGCCTCCCAGGTTCAAGCAATTCTCATGTCTCAGATTCTCTAGTAGCTGGGATTACAGGTGCCTGTCACCACACCCAGCTAATTTTTGTATTTTTAGTACACACGGGGTTTTGCCATGTTGGCCAGGCTGGTTTCAAACTCCTGGCCTCAAGTGATCCACCTGCCTCAGCCTCCCAAAGTGCTGGGATTACAGGCATGAGCCACCACGCCCAACAACAAGTCTTACAAAGAAAAACCAACAAAGTAAAGGTATGCTTTCATGAGCACCAACATAAGTCCCAGAGAATCACCAATAATGAAATCTCAGCACCTGTATGCTTATTGCCATGTGACAATAGGATTAGGAAGTCTGGATGAATGTGAAATATGACAGCAAAATACACACACCCACACTCCTTAAACTGAAGGAACTGCATCAAAAAGTATTTGGGAAACAAACAGAAAACACCCATCAAACTTCTTTGAACACGTGTTACTGCAAATCAGGACCTGCATAATTAGAGCAACAGATACTCCTTCCATCAATTAAGACCAAGGGGGTCTCCTTTGAATCAAGCATTCTTGAGGGGCTGCTATGGGCTTACATCAAATAATAACCTTTTCAAATTCACACAATGTGGGTTTATCTAGGCTATCACTTAGATTTAGTAGCAGTATAGGGGAATGTTAAGAGCCTCAAATATCAGAGACCCTTGGAGGGCTCCTGACATTTTGGGTCAGCTCTGCCAATTATTAGCTGTATGGCCTTCCGCAGTCGCTTAACCTATTTAGGAGGAACATTTTGGTTCCTCATCTGCAAAAATGAGAAAAACTGTATCTGCCTCAGGATTGCTGTAGGCCTATTGTGTGTCTGAAACATAGTTAAGTAATTTCACTACAAAGAAAACACTCAATAGTATCCATCTTTGACTATTCAAAACACATCACTTTTCAGCCAAAGACCAAAAGCAAATAACTGGAGTAGAAAACAAAATAAACAAAAGCAACAGGTCGAGTGACATACTCCCAAATTATCTAGGTAACTCAAGATTGACGCGTTGACTTCATAAAGTACTGGACTCAATAAAACAGGTTTCTGGAAAATACTGAGAATTGCTTCAAGAATAAAACTGAGCTAGATGTTAGGAGGTAGGATTTCTAGCCGTGAGTACAGTCCTACCTACCTATTTGACTACTGGCAATTTACTAAAGCTATCTATTCATTCTGCTGTAATTTCTCTCCATCTATAATCTCCTCAGTCCTCCAACCCTTATGGAGGGAACGTCTCTAAGGCAAGATCCATAACTCCAGCACCTTTGCAACTCCACTGCCCAGCTCGCAAATAAGTTCCCAACCAATAACGAACTAATATCGCTTTATCTATAAGTGATTTCTCCTAATCTAGCTCTAATAATTTGTAAAATTCTAGGACAGAAATTCAAAGAAAAAGCGAGATCTTTTTTCATTAAATTTTGAATACTGTCAACTTATGGGATCTATCTACCCTTAAATCCATCATCTACGACTCATTTGTTCGTATGCAGAAATGCCGTTTCCTCTGTGTCTCGTGGCCCTTTTGTCTACTGTAACAGGCAGATATTGTCTAATTTTGATAAAATAGCCATTCTGTGTTTTAAAAGGTTAGCTTTTCCCTTATGTCTCTTAGGTTTGATTCATCAATTCATCCAAAGATCCGACAGTGAACAGCAGGCACTCAAATGTTTACCTCTGCTGTGTAGGAACCAAACCCACCTTCCCGGCCCCGCCTCCGGCTGTCTCCCGGTATGAGGTATCTCACCTCGCGGTCGCCGCACGCCTCGGGCTTCGGGTGTACAGTGAAACCAAAGAGGACCTGCTCATAGCAACCCGCTACCAGCTCCATTCAGCAAAGCAGGTGCCTCTTCCGCCAGCCCGACTCAACCTGAAGGTGACAGAACCGGATGTCAAAAAAAAAAAAGGCCTGGGTCTTTTCTTCATCGGCACCCGAATTATACATCATGGGTTCAGGGCTGCCTTTAAGTCGCCTGTAAACGTGCAAACACTTTCAGCGCTGGAAGATCACATGGATTTGCCAAGAGGAGAATAAGGATGCAACATGAGGACGTTCTCACTGCAAGAAGAAAAAAATTGGGGGCAAGCAGGCATATCTTAGGAAGGTGAGAGCCAGGTCCGTCTGAGGGGAGTGGGCGGGACATCCTCTGCAAAGACCCTCGTTTCCGTTATGTCTAGGAGGAGGCGGAGTCAACTTCCGGCCCGGTGGGGCGGGGCTGTGGCTGTAGCTGCGGTTCCTTGCAGTGGGGTGGGGCTCTTGGCGTGCTGTTTGGTGTGGGCTGTGTACTACTAGGGTAGAAGTAAGGGTTCCTTTTTGTTCGGGAAGCAGAGGAAGAGCCTTTCGTAACAGGGCAAGGAGGGGTGGGACTTAGGGTCATATTGGCCAAGGTTGCGGCACCTCTTGGGGAGGGAGAAGTGAGCCTGGGAAACATAGCTGGAGTCCGTCTTTACAAAAATATTTAGAAAGTAGCCGGACCTGGCACAGCGCGGCGCGCGCCTGTGGCCCCAGCTACTCTGAAGACTGTGGTGGGAGGATCGCTTGAGCCCAAGAAGTCGAGGCTGCCAGTGAGCCGAGATCGCTCCATTGCACTCCAGCCTGGGTGACGAGCCAGACACTGTTTCAAAGAAAAAAGTTTAATCAGGTTTAGAGATTGAGTTATGCGTTAGACATTACAGCTTTCCCACAAACTCCCAATAGAGTAAATCTTGGTTTATATAGTTCTCATAAACACCGTAGTAGCTCAGTTGATAAACAAAATGCATAGTCCATCCTGGTCAAAACTTCACCCTCCATTTCAAGTGCCATACAGTGCTTCAGCGCTTAGACCCTTCTGTTTCCAAGAACTTTTCTTCTCTGGTGTTCTGGATTGTCAGTACGTGTTAATTAATAAAGGCCGGTTTGGGTCTTGCGGAGATGATTTCACTTTGGATGCTTCAGTTGTCATTGTAGCGCAGGAGAAAGGCCTTGTCATCTGCCAGCTTTGTCAACTCCAAATGTAAGAACTTTACAGACACTGAAATGCTGTTGACAAACTAGTCTTCAGTCTAGTGGAAATCCTTGTATTCAGTCATTCTTCTAAAATAATTCTTGGTCAGGTGCGGCTGCTCACGCCTGTAATCCCAGCACTTTTGGAGGCCGAGGCGGGCGGATCACTTGAGGTCAGGGATTCGAGACCAGCCTGGGCAACGTGGTGAAGCCCAACCTCTACTACAAATAGAAAAATTAGCAGGGCGTGGTGGCAGGCGCCTGAAATCCCAGCTCCTCGGGAGGCTGAGGCAGGCGAATCACTTGAACCCGGGAGGGTGAGGTTGCAGTGAGCCGAGATCAAACTGCGGCACTGCAGCGTGGGCGACGGAGCAAGACTATACATGAAGTAATGTGTAGCCATTGTATTAAGTATTGTAAGTAATCTAGACAGAATTTAAGGTTTCTGGGAGGATGTGTGTAGGTTCTTTGCAAATACTACACCATTTTATACTTGGGCATCGAAGGATTTTGGTATCTGAGGGGGACCCTGTAAACAATCTCCCATGGATACTAAGGGATGACTGTAGTAATGGCTCAATAAATAACTGGTGAATGATTGAATGATCAGAATGTTTTGAATTCATCAAGTCTGCTATTTTTCACAATACAGGTAAATAGAAAATACATTAGCACTTAGTTATTAGCCAGCAGCAGGGAAATGGCCACACCCTAAGCACCCCGTATGGACTCAAAGGTTATCTTGAATTTTGACACTGTGTATCCTTGCTGCTTAAAGTGGCAGGAGCCAGCTATAAAGGCAGAATTTGAGGCTCCACTCCAGATCTGTCAAGTTAAAGAATCTAATTTTTTTTTTAATATGGAGTCTCACCTTGTTGCCAGGCTGGAGTGCAGTGCCGTGATCTCAGCTCACTGCAACCTCCGCGTCCTGGTTTCAAGCTGTTCTCCTGCCTCGGCCTCCTGAGTAGTTGAGACTACAAGTGTGGGCCACCACGCCTGGCTAATTTTTTTATTTTATTTTATTTTATTTTTTAGTGGAGATGGGGTTTCACCATGTTAGCCAGGATAGTCTCGATCTCACTTCATGATCTGTCCTCCTCAGCTTCCTAAAGTGTGAGGATTACTGATGTGAGCCACTGTGCCAGCCTAAAGAACCTACATTTTAAACAAGTCTAGGTCATTTGTATGCACGTTAAATTTTGGGAAGCTTTATCATGCGTTTTTGAAAAATACTGAACAAGAGAAATATTTCTTTAAAATTGTATCCTGTACTCTCATTAATGTAGGGTATAAGAGAGAGAAAAGGAAGAGAAACAGGAGGGAAGGGAGCAAAGGAAGGCTTTCTTCGCTGCCTCTTAATTTTGCAGCTAGTTTGGATTATGCTTTCAATAATTATGCTTTTAATCCCTGCATGGGATTAAAAAAAATAAAAAAGCACTAGCTAGTTCCAATAGTTATTCGCAGAATGATAACTGAGGAGAGAAATGTATTTGTCTTAAGGTTTTGTTATTAAAGATTCCTCTCGTTATGATAAGGGATGCAGTGGAGACTCTTTCATTGTCGAGGGACACATCTTCCCCTTCTGTCCCTCCTTGGGGTTCTGCTGGCTCCCCCAGGCCTGACAGTTGGGAGAGAGGGCCGGAAGGTGGAAGTCAGAGGAACAGGTGGCAGATTTTTTCCCAGGTGCCTTAGTGCACCCCCCCCACACACACCTTTGCCCTGTTGTCAGGAAAGTCAAGCAATTAATTGCCTAGCAGGAATTGCCACTAAATGTAATTATCTCAGGTAGTTGCGAGACTTACCTGTCGGGGTTGAGAGGTTTTAGCCCACAGGCCAGAATTTTTGAAGCAGGAATAAAAACCGGATTCTGCTCTCTTTTTGTAAGGTTTCTGGATAAATGGCAGAACAGGAGAGTTTTGCAGGTTTTGGCATAGCTCAACACAGTAACTATTCCAGCTACTGGCAAAGGTGAGCAGTTTTCTCCTTTGAAGGAAAAAGAAAGCTGTTACTTTTCTATTTGCTACATAACTGTTGGTAACTTACAAACAATGGCTTTGAACATAGGTGTTCAACTTACTGCAAACTTCCTGGAAAGAAGTCGGGGGAGTTTGTGGATGATTCTGTGTTGGTTGGTGACGGTTGTCATTGCTGTGGTCTTTCCTCTGCTATTAGAGTGAAGCAGGAATTCCAGCCTATCCAGGGTTACCACTGTGGCAACTGGTACGTGCAGCAGCCCAGCTCTTACCTTCTTTCTGGCTACAGCTACAGCTGTGCAGTGGATGGAAATGGACAGAACTGTTTTACTGCATATGAGACCCCTCAACACACAGCTGGAACTTTGGTTATGCCTAAGGTATCCCTTGCTGGAATGAATCTTGTGTCATTCATGGGCCAGATAATAGTAAACGTCACTTTCCTATCTTCACACATTATTATCCTCTCATCCAAATTCCCACAGCCACGGCTTTTGCTGCCTGTTTTAAAACTAGAGAGTAAAGCTGATGATAGCCTCAGACAAACGTTTGTTCAGCTTTACTGCGGTGTACACTTGATACCCAGAAAGTCTCCTGTACACGTTTAATTTTTATGATTCGCTGAGTTTGGACATGTATAACCTGTAAATTCTCACTTGCAGATAATTTCTCATTCTCTTCCAGAAACAAAAGGCTGATGAAGTCTTTGTCTAAATTCTTGCTACTAAATTTTAGATGATCATAATTTGATAAATTTTACTCTTTAACACTTAATATAGGACAAAAAGTAGTTTTGGGGTTTGTTTTATAGCAATTAGATATAAACACACTTTAAAAAGATGTTGTAATACTTTGAATTACTAAAGTGACATATTTCTCAAATCACACAAAGATGTATTGAAGTCAGGGAAAAGCTCCCCCCACACCCCTCCTCCTTCCCCACTCCCTTTCTACTTAGAAGAAAGTACTGTTGGAGTGGATGTCTTCTAGATCTTTCCCCTGTATTCTTGCTAAAACAGCGCGGTTTGTCTTTCTGTTTTGGTGGTTAGTGGATGATTTAGGCAAGAGTGAACTATGTAGTACATACCGTTTTGCTCTTTGCTTGCTTCTGCATAAGGAGACCTTTCTTTAAAAGTTGCCCATTTATGGTCTGCGCAAAATGGCTCACACGTGTAGTCCCAGCTACTTGGGAGACTGAGGCGGGATGATAACTTGAGCCTGGGAGTTTGAGGCTGCAGTGAGCCATGATTGTGCCATTGTACTCAAGCGTGAGCAACAGAGTGAGTTCATTTAGATACATTGTGATTTTTAGCTCATCCCTTATCTGACGTTTTAAATATTTTCCAGACTTTAACAAACTTACTTATCTTCAAGCATTTTTCTGAGTGTTGATTTTTTCCCAAGAATTTATTTCTGGATGTGGAAGGGCTGGATTAAAGGATGTAACATAAAAATATTTAAATAGCAAATTACTTAAAGTCTGCAAGAATTTGTACTTTTCATTATTGTGGTGGGTGTTCTTGCTACTCTACATTCCTCTCTGTATATGATCGGGCAATCTGATAGGCCAGGGAGGCATTTATCTATTAACGAGGGCAAATACCTCTTGAAGTGCTTATTGGTATCTGTGTTCTGTGACTTTGATACCATCTTTCTAGTTTTTCTGTTGAGTTGTGTTTCTCTTGCTTGACTGCATAAGATATTCACAGGTTAGAGAAATTAACAATTTTTGCTCTAAATGTTACGGACGTCCCCCACCCTAGCTTTTCTCCTAATATGCATAGTGACACCGTTTGCATGATGATCTTTGCCTTAAAACCAAACTTGAATTTCACATCTAGACCCTTGACTTTTAAAACTTACATTTGCTTTATATTATGATATTTTACTGCCCAAACTTTCATTTTCAATTTTTCTGAGGTCTGTTTTAGGTGTGCCTCTTGTATGAAATATGTTAGATTTCTTGTCATTTTTTCCCCCCTTTTGGCCCAATACGGTTTTTTCCCTTTTAACAGATGTTTGATATTGAAGCACTTAAAAAAATATATTTGACCACATTGCCTGAGGTTTTGTCACTCTTTTTTTTTTTCTTTCGCCTCTTCCCTTTTTGTTCTTTTTTGGGAGATGTTCTGTTTTTGGTGGTTACCCTTATATCTTTAAATGGAGAAGTATAAGAATGAG